TGGCTGCCGTATCACCTCAACAACATCCTGCAGGTGAGCAACACCTCACACTGTATGATCCCATTAATATCTCATTGCTATAGCCTACATCATGTGACCTCACAACATCACATGAATACATGCCAGTGGAAAAATATTCAAACTAGCCCTGACAGCACACGTACGTTACGGAGACATCTATTTGATGTCTGCATTACATCTGCAAGACGTGTTTTTTAGAGTGTTTGCTCATCTGCAATACGTCTATGGGACGTATCCTATCAGATGTCTAATAGACGTTTAGAAGATGTCTTTAAGATGTTTATGATTTAGAGTGTATGTAAAACTGACATCTTAAAGACGTCTATCAGATGTTTGAACACTGCAGATGCTTTCCAGATGAAGCGATCTTTAACAGACATCGTGAAACAGCACTTTAAATTTCCTGTAGATACACCTGGGTGCATTAAGGAAGTGATGCGTTCATTTACTGGATTCGGCCTCGTGAATTATATCCATTGTTGTTCATACTTGTTTCAAACAATTGGATTTCATTGATATTTTGGCTCAATTTGAAAGCTGCATTTCACCTGTTGCCCGCAAACTTGCTTGACTTGATTGATTGATGATATAGCGATTTATTAAATGGTTATTTATGTTGAAGGAGGCAAATTATTTAGGAAGAAGTTGAGTTATTTGAATATCCATTCTGATTGGTCAGTTTACTAATAAGCTGTTAACTCAAATTCATGAAAGAAAATAATACCCTTTTACATTATAAAAGCATTTGAGTTATGCAAATTAGTGGATGAATTGTTAAAAACAGCATTTAGTTTGATCACTTTTAATACATTAATAAGGAGGCTCAGCATCCCTTGCATACTCTAACAGACTGTCATTTGTTTTCGTGTGTGTGAAATTGGTAGGCTATCTTCAATAATGTCAGTTTTCTCTCATTTTATGTCATCCCACAAAAGCATTTCTCTTTCTTGTTGGTCTGTTCTCACAGGTGATTGGTCTGATGCAGGGCTCCTCCTCTTCTATTTTAACAGTGGCAATAGTGGCGCGGCCCAACGTGACGGCGTTCACCTTCCTTAGCAGCAGTGTGAACCCCGTCCTGTACGTGTTTGCCGGCAGCTCTCACATCCGTCAGGCTGGTCTGGGCTTCATGGCCAAACTCTTTGAGGGAACCAACTCGGAGTCGGCCTCCACCCGCAGCAGTCGCGGCTCTAATGCAGAGAGCTCCGTTTTCACCAAGCTGTCCGTCAAGCTGAGTCGTAAAGGGGACGGGGCGAGAGCCGAGACCCCTGGTGGTGAAGACGAGAACACAGCGGACGTGCACAACAGAGATGAGATGAAGACTCTCACCACCCTGCATTAAAGTGCTCATATCGTGCATTTATTCCCCTGAGGTCCATTTATAATGTTACTAAATGTTGTTGGACTCTCATTATCGCAACTGAAATAATAATATCACTGCTCCAGGTGTGTGTTCACGGTGTGAGTGTGCAATTTGGATGGGATAAATGCAGAGCACTAATTCCGAGTATGGGTCACCATACTTGGCCGTCACTCATTCACTCTCTCACTTCTGCTGCTGCTGTTTCACAATAAAAGTGTCTTATTTTCTTTAAATACTTGATTGTGATTGGCTGGAATACGGGCATTAAAACATATTTGACCATTTTTAAAGGGTTTCTTTGTGAAAATTCTAGTTTTGTTTCGTTTCATACTCCTGCTGTTTACTGTTTTTTCTTTTTTTTTTTTTTTAGAAAACATCGACACGTTTGCATGTAAACACATCCTCGTCAATTTGCTTATGTCCATAACACATTTAGAGACCTTCAGGCTGAACTATATTTACATGTCTGATGTGAAACAGAAGCATAAACAGTGAGTGTTATTGATCTAGTCATATTCCATTACATTTCATTCAGTCTTATTCATCTGTTAGTCATATTACATTGACTCCTAAAATCCAAAAATATACAAAAAATATCAAACTCAAAACTATTTTTATTTACAAAGCTGTGTGAAATATTTTTTAAAATGCATGTCAATTAAATGTTTGTTATTATCATGGGAAGCAAATTGTAAAAATGTTCAATAATAAATGTATATAATGAATGTTTAATTGTGCTTGTTCATCAGCTCCCTTTTAAAGCAGCACTATGTAACTTTTTTCTGTGTTCAAAATGTGCAAAATGTATATAATGAGCGAGTACATCATGAATTAATCTTCCAAACCACATTTTTGTCTTATTCCGAATCACTACGGTACACTTACAAGTAGTTATATTTGGACTATTGTAGCCTGGTCGGGTCGTCACCTCTGCGGAGTAACACATACCTGCGTGATTCGCCTGAGACATAAACTTAGAGAAGTAGCTCCGGTTGGAATGCTCTTCCGCGGAATGTGTGCAGTTCTGTTAATTTATTTATCTAGAGCACCAAAAGTTACACAGTGCTGCTGTAATAAAACCAAGTAACAGGGAAGTTACAGTACACATCAAAATTTAAACAAGATTTAAAGCTTATTTGTGTTGGATTTGATCAAGTCAAGTGATCATTCTCATGTTAGGTAAGCAGTCAAGAGATGAGACTACTGGTTGTAAATAATAATAATAATAATAGCAGAGAATGAAGGGAGGAATGATCGATATACTGTACATTAAGGTCAGTAGGATTTTGTGATTTGCGCCATACTCTTTCAGCAGCCCTGAGCTTAGAACGATCCTCACAGAGAACATCAGACAGCCAAGGGGCAGAAGAGGTGGTACGAGCTGGCCTGGAAGACAAGGGGCAGACAGTGTCTAAACAAGACGTAAGAGTGGAGCAGAAAGTATCAGTAGCACGGTTAACATCAAGAGATGATAACTGTTCAGGGGAAGGAAGCTTAGATGAAACCATAGCAGATAGCCGGGAGGGTGAGAGAGAGCGTAGGTTACGTCGAAAGATGACATGTGTAGGGGTATGTGTTGTGTCAGGAACCATGTTGAGGTTAAGCGTGAGGAGGAAGTGATCCGAGGTGTGTAGTGGAGTAACCAGCACATGATCAGTGGAGCAGTGTCATGTGTAAATAAGGGCCAGTTGATTTGTGAGTAGCCGTAGTTAATACTCACTTGAGATCAAAAGAGACAAGCAGAGTGTGGAATGTATACTTACCCCAGACTTGTGAGCGTCAGCCCGGGCTGTTTCCAGTTATTGTGAAGGACGCCACTCATCCCTCCCACAGTGCCTTCCAGCTCCTGCCATCAGGTAGAAGGTACCGGAGTATCAAAGCTCGCTCTGTCAAACTGCTCAACAGCTTTTTCCCCCAGACTGTGAGAGCCCTCAACTCCAATCTCCCTGCCCCCCTCTGAAACCTCGTCCACAACCCCTACCTCCTGAAACTAGGAACATTCGGTCTTCGAATGAAGCCTTTAAAGGATTCAAAATCTGAATTGGGAAGCAGCTTATGTGTCCTCAACATGTCTGAATTGTAAATTTAATATTGGATTTTATAATTTAATTATCATTCTGATGTTGAGAAACAGTCAAGAGACGAGATTGCAGGTTGTTCAGGAGTTTATTTGAGCTGCTGTTGTTGACATGTTCTTTTAAGTTTAGCACACAAATATTGTAGATATTTTACACCCAACCTTCACTCCTTTAAGAATAAACAATATTTCATTTAGCAGAGGCACATAATGTTGGTGCTCACTGATTCACATTCAACCAGACATTTCTAGTTAGACATGATTAATACATGAAACTCGATATAAGAGAGAGAAGTAGCTGCAACAGCATACACATATCCTTAAAACACAAATAAGGAATTTTGAAAACTCATATCATACTCTTCAGTTACATGAATTATCTCATAATAAATTGAAGGAACATTGTATAAATATATACCTAATGATGAATACATATGATGCCCTTCAATCCCACAAAATTCAATTAATTTCTCATAGTTAGTAAATAAAAAAAATATATAAAAGCAAAACATACTTTAACATTAATTCTTGCCTTTGGCTCTTAAAATGGAGCAAACAAACCCAATCACATTGATGCATCAACAGAAATTCATCCACCTGAAGATAAACAGACCCTCAACAGAACAAATCAGACAATTTACAGCTCAATAACAGTTTACTGAAGAATACGTTTGAACTATATTAACAAACATCTGAGCAAAAGATTTCTGCCTTTTTAACCCTTAGGTGCGAGTGCCTGCTGAGGCTGAAGTTATTATATGAAAAATTATTATTTAACAAAGTGCTGAATGAAAATGAAGTTAAAGGAAGTAAGGACACAAGCACTTGTTTTCTTACATGAAAGGTCTGTGTATC